TGTTGAAGCCACTTCGGTATGACGTGATGCCTAATTTCCTGGTTGTACCAAAATTGCGAGTATGCAAGTGATCGTCAAGCCTGCCCCTGTACAGTAGCCGTCTTGCCTTGTTACGCCTGGTTCTGACTCTGCGTTCTCGTATACTCCATGCAATGTTACAAGGAATACTGCTCCCTTCTCAAGCAATTCATTGGCAACAAAACGCTCGGCTATGCCCTGTAACTTTGCTGTGCGGTTTGTGCTTTGTCAATGTTGTGTACCAGTTCATGATCTGTGCTTGCTGGTCTGTTTGTTTTCTCTCGCACAATTGAGGCGCTGTAGCACAGTGTACAGTGTCGATCATCCTGCCCAGGCTCTGATTTCACGTACCACAGTACGGTTTCTCTTGTTGCTCACTGTAATGTGCATGATACAAGCTCCTTGGTACTCCATCATCACCTGGTGCTGTTGCTGCCATTGTTTGACCCTGCTGATATCCTTCTCGCAATGCCCGAACGTTGTTCCAACAAATGCACAACTCGCTCTTAGTTGTCCCATTCGGTTTGGTCTCGTTCCAGTCTTTCGAATTGAGTGAGTGCGTAAACTTGTATGAAGTGGTGAAGCAAAGCCGTGCGCCGGCAAACATTCAATGTCCGGGTGTAATGACGCACCAAGGTCCCGGGACTTGCGTCCAATTCCTGAGTGATTTTTGTGTGCCTAGCCTCTAGGTATCATACCATATTTGTTTTGTTCAACCGTTTTGGATGCCCACTGCAATACCATTCACTGTATTATGTGTGTATGTTATCCAAGAAATCTCTCATATTTTTGGGTGGACAAACCTCGCCATAAGTCAGTAACCTGGCATTTTGCACTAACAGAACTCCTAGGATATCAGCGCCGTCTCAGTACCTGGGGACAGTTGTAAAGAAAAAGAAAAAATATCCTTGGCCCACAATGCCCCACTAAATAATCCGAAGGGTGTCGCGAAGACGACAATTTCCTTACCTTTCTTTCGTGGACGAAAAAAGACACTTCGCTTCGTCCGTTGCGCATGAAACGAAATATGAGGGCAGTGTTTATCAATTAGAATAGGTATCATGCACGAAGGAATGGCGAAAAGGTACTATGCTCGAGCGCTGGTCGTCGTCTTGTTTGTCAATTTTGAGTCCCATTGAGAATTTTCTTCTCCAGACCTCTCAAATTTCCCGCGGTTGCAAATAAAAGTGCAACTTCTAGACGACTTTTTTGAATTTGGCGCACGGACTGGGTCAAGTGGCAACGAAACTTCTTCCTTGGCAAACTACACGTACATGTAAGGGCCGATTCCCACTACGGTACCGTGAGTGCCGTGCCGACGATTTGGGTAGGTCACGTGTACCCCACGGTACGAGCTTGAAGCTGAGAGTGATTTACACCTGCGCACAGTCATTCCGTGCATTCCGTCGGCAGGCCGGATCACCATTTTTTTTCAATTTCTGACTTTGGTCCTGAGGGAAAATAGCGGGGGAGATGACTGCAGAAAGCTCAAGAATCAACCAATCGAAAAGCCAAAAGCCAAGAAAAAACTTCGTACCACAAATACAAAAGAAAGAAAAAACTTCCTTTCAGGGAGTAGTAAAATACCTACTACTCACTGCATTCGACCTCACGGAATACCACGGCATGCCATTTCCACCCCCCAGAGACCCTCGGCACCGGAATGTCCACGGCGCGGTACGGCAGGAGCCACGGAATGGGGCTGTTAAGTGTGACGTCACGGCCCCTTCGATACGCATAGCAACGAAGAGCACTGGGGACAAACAAAAGTCGGGTCCTCTGGATGGAACCAGATGTCAAGGGCAACAGCATCTAAATGACTGGAGAGAAAGCTGTTTTTCTTTGCTTTTTCTTCAAGCGATTGTTGTCGCTCTTTACTCCTTGTTATTTCCTCTACAAATCTCCTGTAGTCGTCGAGGGCCTTCATAATGGCTGTGTAATTGGCTGCCCACTGTAAAACTCCGTGTTTGAGAGTGCTTTGAAGATTCTTCGCGTCCTGATGGATCAAAGTACGAGCGCTCCCTGTGGATTCGATTATATGTAGGTGAGTTGTTCAAGAAATCAGTGTCTTCTTTCTGTTTCTGCCCTCACGCTGGCACAATATCAGCCTCTATATCCATGACAGCTCACACCTCCCGTAAACTGCATGGCTTAGATATATTCTCGCCCGCCGTGGTGATTGAAGACCCATGGAAGAAGTTATTATGTTCAGAATGATGTCCTGAGAATATAATAATTCTATGGAATTGTTACTGGGTACAGTCAGACCTCGCATAACCGTACACATCCGTTTTCGACAAAAATATCCGGTTAGGCGAGGGAACCGGATAATCGAACACACATACTGTATGTATGCATTGCATATGCTGTAAATCGGTGACCAACGATTTTCTTCCGGATGGCGAGGGATCCGGATAAATGAGGACCGGATAAGCGAGATCTGACTGTACTAGTATTTTGGAAGGATGGAGAGAGAGAGAGAGAGAGAGAGAGAGAGAGAGAGAGAGAGAGAGAGAGAGAGAGAGAGAGAGAGAGAGAGAGAGAGAGAGAGAGAGAGAGAGAGAGAGAGCAAGCACTGTTTGAAGTGTTTGTCTCACTGTAATTACTCCAGATTATTGAATGGTGTATGATCTACTCGATATTTTCCACAATGGGTTTTCCTGATTTGCGGGATCTCTTCTTTTGCTGTTTGCGTGTTTACAGGAAGTGACTGTCTGGTGTATCCGCACCAGATCCTGGGGAAATGAAGTCAGATGCAGAGGCAGGGTCGTCCAGTGATGCAACACTGCCGTTCTATGTGCAACGTCACCGCTAATTCCCCCGGCGAAAACACAAAAAGACAAACACGTGAAGAGACTACAGTATGACCGTTCTGGTAATGAATCGTGACTGCTCGGACAGTCGATAATCGAAACACAGAGCACCAGCATTATGTTTTCATATTGGGAACCACGCTCCAGCTCAATTCTCAAGCCCAAAAATTGATGAAAACAAAACACAGAGCGACGCAACAAGAGATCATCCGGCGACCAAACCAACCTCGGTCTAATGCACTGAATAGTCCTGAAATACGCAGGCCACACAAAGCAGTGCAAGCACATACTGTTACAAGGTACATGTATTGCAGAACAAAGTGTAACCAAAGATACACAGGGTTATAGCTGCACACTCGTGCATGTGCTCGCTCAGCCCAAGAACACGCATGATGATAGAAATAATCCGGGGGAAACACGCTAGTACCGAAGTAAGCATCAAGACGTAAATAGTGCAGCTCTGAAAAATTAAAAATTACATTGACATGTACATTGATGTGCCGAGTAGTATCATCCTTGATTACCCATCCAACCAAGACGTTATCAGGTCCCAGACGCCGAGATCGCATGCCGAATGTGAAGTGCATCTAGCCTTGAACCTGTTGCACAAGGCACACACATAAAAATGACATCCACTCCGATTATTTCCAGAAGCCAATCATTACAGAACACAGAAATGAAACCACGGGCTCAACAAAGTAAACGCAAAGGAAATTAGTTAAAATAATTAGTGGTGTGCACGGGTAGTCGGGTACCCGTGCTAACCGTGAGGACCTCGGGTAGACGGGTACCGAATCGTACCCGAAAACCCGAAGTCGCAGATGACATCATGTAGAAAGAGTAGAGAGAGGTCTACAGTGCACGTGTACAAATAATTCACGCATGTCTACCCAGTGTGTAAGGGGAGGGGCCGGTGTGCATTGTGGTCTTACCATGGAAACATTACCCGATCGGGTACCCGTGCTACCCGACTCAGCCCTAAAAATAATCCATGAAGTGCTATTTTAATTCCAGCGCTGACTGCAGTTTGGCGTCATGGCCCGATACCCGCTGAGCATAGACACAAACTCCATTTGACAGGAGCAAGACATACTATTTTGGAATAAAGTCAGAAAGTACAGCATTCCAATGACATGACGGACACCTCGTGCAAATGCGTGGTCTGTTCATCCAGCCAACTCGGCCACGCATGAGAGTGTGTGCATGTACGCGCGCACGTGCACACACACCATGTATTCGGTGCGTATGGCGTACCTGTTGCGGAGATATGAAGATGGAATCATTATCATGATGTTACATGTACATGTACAGTGTATGTTTGAGTGTAAAATAAATTTTATTTTATTACACATTTCTTCGACACAACTTACTCCACATCTTCGCATTTCTCATAATCCATCCACCTACACTCCGTCTCAGTTGAGGAAAACTCTCCCAGGTATACACTAGTCATCACAGCCATGTGATGGCATTGCCATTGGGATGGGTCCCAAGCACGATTGCACTCTCCAGTTACAATATAATTTATTTGTCCAGATTATCTGTGAAGACAAAATGCAATGCATAGCGGCAATCGATGGATGAAGAGAGAGTTTATAAATACACATATCTTTCCACTTGTCCAGGAGCTTACCTTTTGGAGTTCACATCGTTTACACGATCTCTTATGCTGTCTTGCACCTTGGCTTTGTTGACCATGGATGCGCCATCCTAGAAGACATTCTACAGGAGCTACTAATGCAGAGCATTTTTCACACTCGATCTCTGCGATCTACCTCGTCACGCCAATAAAATCCTCCGTGACACTGGCTACAGTCACAAGAGACGTCTCAGTAAGGTAATGAGCACGACAACACCGTCGAGATCAAGGACAAAGAGAAAACAAAACACTCACTGAAAACAGCAAAGAAGAAACGAAGAAATGTACACGATTCCATTATGTTGCCACTGACGGAGACGACGCTACTTTTGTTTGTCCCCAGTGCCAGTGGGATCGTTGCTATGCGTATCGAAGGAACTGTGACGTCATCACTTAACAGCCCCATGAACGTCGAACTCGCGCCAAAACTGCCCCTCACGTGAGCAAATCACCATGGGTACTCACGGCCGGCACGGCACTCACGCTGTACAGTAGTGCATCTCGGCGGCGCCTCTTGCTCAAGACTACAGACCATCGTTGTTGTCATTTCTACTGAATTTTGAGGAAGGAATAGCACTGGCAGCTGTAGTTTGGTCTTGTTCCAGCTCGCCTTTCACTCTAAACAGTTCATGCACGTCCTGGACATTTATTTGGTAAAAGCAATAATACGACGACTTGGTTGTAGGTTTGGTTGTAGACCAGACCCAGCCTAGGTGGTGATACGTGTGGAATTTCAAAAGGGAGAAGGTCTAGCGGCTGAGGATGTCTGCTGCGGGTGCTGAAACGAAACGGTGTCCCAACTGGTTAGTGGGACCTGACCTGGCTGGCTTTTGATCAACTAATTATGATATTCAGGGAGCAGTAAAAAGTATGTTACTGCTCCCTGATGATAACCATGCTCGACATTCCATGATTGTTAGTGTGAACCTTTCAGAAAGACCGCAGGGTATTCCTAAAGATTAGTGTCCCATATTATTCTCGACCTAAAGATTAGTAAGAAATTGGTTGTGAGCAACACTGGCTCACACTCAAATCACTGCTTTTCACCAGAAAAATATTAGTGTCTCAAATTTCTGGTGCTCCCTTTTTGGTCTGTTGGTCATGCACTGCATGTACTAATGAATCCCAAAACCGGCATGTGTTCGTTTCCGTAATTGACCTGACTGAGTTTGTTGTTGTTGTATACTAGAAATATAGTATACAAGAACAACAAACTCAGTCAGGTGACCTGAGTGGAACACACTCGAACACTCAGAGACAATGGTGGTGGAGTTTTGTAGAAGATCCTTGGGGTTCAGGATGACGAACGGCACCGCCAGCACACGAACAACAGGATTGCTCAGGACGACGAACGGCACCGCCAGCGCACGAACAACAGGATTAGCAGGAGAGGAATAGTAGATGAGACAACAAGGAACAGTACCAGAAGGCGGAACAGGTAGCGAAGCGAGGCAAATCGAGACTATCTAGATGGGGTACTGACGTCGAATACCTGCCAACGTGCTTCTGAAGTAGTCCCTTGCAGCTCTGCGTTCCTGTCTCCAAATGAATTCCTTCAGATAGCTCGGGAACAAGGGCTCGGAGGTGCCGAAATTTCTCCTCAGCTGTCGCTTTGCTCGCACCCACATGTTTTCAACACTTTTGGTGTGAATGTCGCGGTGAACGGGATCCACGAAGTTGTGTTCGTGAACGACGACGTCGTGCGTGTACATGCCGTCGTTCACGTCTCCGAGATGAGCATAAACTGCCCAACCGTCGGAAATGATGCGTGTTCCGGGTAGAACCCACACCTCTATCAGGGGAACTAACGTCTGTGCACGGCGGTCTGGTACTTCCTACAAGCAGGCGCGTACGCAGGGTCACCTCTAGGGGGGTTTCCAACTGAATCCCAAACCGTGAATGAGTTTTAACCCTTTCTAAAGAGCCCTAGGAATTTTTCAAAATTATGCATTTTTCGTGTTCTTTGGATCATAACTTCAGTTCTACTCACTCAATCTTCATTCTCTTGGGCTTTCTGGAAGTGGAAAGGTACCCGGGAGAGAATGAGGTCGACCATGATAGCCAGGACACAGTACAGTCATATACATATCCAGCGCTAAAGGCTATAGCGCTGGATATGTCGCACCCTACCGCTATAGCCTATAGCGGTAGAGTGCAGCGATGGTGCGAAAAAAGCCTCAAAGTCGCAAACGCGTCCTGCTCCCGCGATTTCGTTTTTCTTGATAGAAGAGTTTCGATTTTTTTGCTGTGTACTCTTGAAAATATCAGAAGTGAAGTCCCTGCAAATTTGAGCAAGTCAGCATGACGGAAAGTCTCAAATTCTCGATACTCAAGTCGCACTGCGCGCTTTTGAAGTTCCCGAGATCGCGGCTCAACTTACGAATGATTTATCCCAAGAGACATTGCTCGCAGCGCTTCGAAAATTGTTCCAACCGACAGCTGAGAATTTTCTATTCGATCTGGATATTTGGATTGCTGAATTTGAGCGAGATTTGACTGAGTTACGGTCTGTTGAAGTTTTGCATTCATTCTTGCCAGATCGATCGTGCACCCTACCAAAAATGCCCAAAAACGTTGCTCGTTTGGAACATTTGGGGGGGGGGGTTCCGGGCAACGGGACCCCCCCCCCCCCCTGCGTACGCGCCTGACAAGAGCAAAACAAACGGTCAGAAGAGGAAAAAACTGCTAGTACAGTTGTGGGTCGGGTGCACACGAGCACAATCAAACTTCGCCAAACATACCTGTATCATACATCGTCCAGACTCTCTCTCTTGATAGCACCGAAGACCCAATGACCCTCTCGCCACTGCCCGCGATGGTATTTCCGATGGAAATACTTGCTCTCGTCGATTTCGACAACGATTGGCTGCCCGTCATCATCAAGTCCACCCAATCGTATGGGATTGTCAGCAATCTCCTCCGCACACACGTCTCTGAGGAAATTGTACCAGTCGATTAGAGTTGGCTCGGTCACATCCAGCTCCCGCAGAACATTTTTTTCTGGGGCGTATCCATGGCCCACCAGTATGCTATGGACAGTATGGTGTGCAGGGACAGGTGACTGCGCTGAAAGAACGAGCCACAGCGAATGCTGCGGGTGAAACCACAAGGGCGGCACTTCCAGCGATACCCGTCTTGGCTTTGACGGAGCACTTGCAACCGACATTGCTCGCCACAAGTCCCACGAGCTACTTCATTTGCGATGAGGTGGCGAGTTGCACAGAAGTTCAGAACTTCCTCATGGCCATTAAGGGCAAGAACAAGAGAGAATATATCCCATTGCTCCGCTTGCATCTGCGCGTCAGAAAAAACCTCTGCTGGCGGGACAATAAATCGGGGGCAGGAGGACGACCAGCAATTGCAAACAAGTGGAATAAGGAAAACTACTAAAAGTGTGTTCCACGTGCCACTGCCAGGACTTTTATGTGCCAGCGTCAAATACGGCACCGAACGCACGCCGGTTTTGGGACACAACACATTGCACAACTGTAGTACTTGCAGTAGGGTTCACTAGTGCATGCAACAGACCAAAAAGGTCGCGAATAATTTGCAGTAGGGTTCATTAGTGCATGCTACAGGCCGAGAAGAATTTGGGACACTGCTAATAGGGCTTGAAAGTGATGACGTCAAAAACGGCCAGGGAGTAGTAAGTTGACATCAGATTTCTATTTTGGATCACTAAGGTGTGACTTTGCTATTGCCTCAGTATGTGGGTGCATAGCAACCCACTCATGTCGTATGCAGGGGTGACTTTTACTTCGCCACCAGTTGTAACCCCGCCCCAGTAGCCAAATCAGTCAGTTTCACTGGCTACATCACCTTGCTGTGAGTGAGACGGCTTGAAATGTGATTGGATCCATACAAAAACTGGATCCAAGTGGATCCAGTTTTTGAATTTTTGAAATTGTTGCTATGCTGTGACGTAGCACTTTCAAGCCCTATACTATGGGACACTAATCTTTAGGATTACCCACCACAGATCATGCTTATGCGCTTCAAGGTGATGGACGTGCAGTGCATGTAGTTCTTTACCGCCGCACGGCACACATGCATTGGTCCTACCGATGCTTTCAAATTGCAATTTGGCTAGCTTTTCTTCTTTTTCATCTGTGGCAAACAGAACGAGATACACTACACAGTCCTACATAACACTAATTCCTACAACCAAAGGAGCATGCAGTATTAAACCCGTTGTATGGCGGCGATTGATTTCTTGGCAGAGATGAAGGTTGACGTTGATATTGCTTGGTATGCTGGTGGCTCTACCTGGGTCTACCTGGTCACACCAGGACCAAAGCTCGATGCACAATTATAGCTTTCTGCTACGCGATGGGCAACTTGTGACAAGAGCTTCCCTGACACGTGCTGCTGCATTGAGTTATTACAGTCTACTCGCCAATTCCGGGCCCATGGCTGTTTCACCGTCTCACTTCATTCTTATTCAAGATGGTGAAGTCGATGACTTATAATTATAGGTCAGAAATATGATAGCTGTTGTTTTAAGCCTAAGATAAAGTGAATGCTGTGAAGAATGATCAAAATTATGAGCAAAATGTTTTTTTTTCAGACCCATAATCGTGACAGATTGCATTGACACAATACAAAATGATAACTATTAGTATCGTGCAACACCTGGTTCCCCTGCTGTTCCTCGGCTAGAGATCGCCCGCACGCTCGCCCTATACCGGGTGCCTCCCCAAGCTGCTCGATCCTGGGCCATCATGGAGAGTTCGTCAAGATGGCAGACATATACATGTAGTTTTAGTGATTCAGGGGGCCCAGAGTGATTCAGGGGGCCCAGAGTGATTCAGGGGGCCCAGAGTGATTCAGGGGGCCCAGAGTGATTCAGGGGGCCCAGAGTGATTCAGGGGGCCCAGAGTGATTCAGGGGCTCGGAATTGGCCAATGCACTATTATCTATAGTACACGGCTGGTGTCGTAGAAGTTGGCCAAAGTCCTACTTTTGCGACGTGCGACATGTGACGCATACCAATTTAGTCCAGTTTTTTGTGTGCGCTTAGTGCACACTCAGTGCACGCGTATGTACTATGTACTAAAAGTCTTTATGTCCACACCAGGAAGCCTGGCTTCTGTGAACAGAAATGAAATAAATTCACACTTTGGCTGTTTGGTAGGTCGTCAACAATTTGCTAGCTGTGTCCATTGTTAGTCTATTGTTGTTGCAGTGCATTGCACGCTTGTTTGGTTTCTTCGCATTGCACGCTTGTTTGGTTTCTTCGCATTGCACGCTTGTTTGGTTTCTTCGCATTTGCACCTTTTTGCCATTCCTCCTATGTGTACGAGGTCACGCATTTCACAGTTTTTTGTTTTGTTTCTTGCCACTCTTCTCTGCCCTGTTTCTATCACATCTTCGCTGTATACCAATGCATTGTTCTTGCTCAGTTTCTTTTCGCCTGCATTACACCTGGTGAGAAGGCATCAAAAGCACCAGTGGAATAGTTTTGAAAATGTTGATCGTGAGGAGCTTGAAGCTCGTTCTTTCCTGGAGTGTGAATAGAGAGAACCTGTTTTCAATTTGTGGCACGTGTAACATATTCAGTAGATTATTCCTTTGGTGTTTCCTGTCCCAATTACGGTCTGTCTTTCCTCCGCTCTGGCACGATCCCTGGCTACGCCACAGCACGACGAAAGTTTCCATGTCCAATTTACTTGAACATTACGTTCTCTTCTTCAAACTTATCCCTGCTGTGTACCGGTACTTGTAATACTGTAAACAGCCTAATGTTTGCGGCGTATTCATTTTTGCTAATTTTGCGAGAAGAGAACAATGCAAAATCTACCATACGGATCGTGTAGGTTGGAACACTGCTTTAGAAAACTGCATTGCAAGGTTAGCTGCAGGAATATTGTAACTGTGGGTGCATGGGTCAAAGTCCTGTTTGCTTGTTTGGTTGTGGCTGCATGCGGGGGCGCCTCTGTGTGAGTGTCTGTGTGTGTTCGTGTTTGCGTGCGTGTGTGTGTGTGTGTATGTTCGTGTTTGTGTGTGTGTGTGTGTGTGTGTGTGTGTGTCTGTATACATCACAGCCGTCAAGATGTGTCCGTGAATTTGTACGCTACTATGCACGAGCCTCGATGCCGTCGTTTCAACAGGTTCTGCGAGCAGTGCAATGAACCTATAGAGGTTGCAGACTTTGACCGACACGTGGCTGAAGACCATAAACAGGTAAAAAGCTCTGTCGCACCCTGTAATAAAAAAAAACTCTAGCCCTTTTAAAATGCTTTTTCTCCTAGGCTTACATGCAGCCAGTAGGGAGTGCTCACGAGCCTCAGTCTCGGGAGCAGTAACGTGCGTGACCTGTTGATGTGAGCTGATGAATACTGTACTGTAAAAGGCTCATTTCGGCGGGTAAAAGCGGATGCGATTTACATGTATAAACTAGCACGAGTTTGCAGGGAAATTTCTAGTGATCAGCGTTTCATGTCGGTCAAAATGCATGCACATTGCATGCTATGCGGAATGTTAACTTTCGATTGACAACTTAACTTCTCGAAACCACTCCGTTTGCTATTATCGCTAAAATTTCACCACCCATAAAATGAGGTGTCAAGGGTCTTTTTGTTGTATCCGGGACTGTTGCGGAACTGTAGCGTACCAGGGTGGCAGTCTCTCTCTCTCTCTCTCTCTCTCTCTCCCACTCTCTCTCTCTCTCTCTCTCTCTCTCTCTCCCCCCCCCCCCTCTCTCTCTCTCTCTCTCTCTCTCTCTCTTTCCCCTGTACAGATGTCATGTCCAGATTGTGGTGATTGCATGGAAGGATTGCAATTGGATGATCATCAGGTATGGCGGAGTATCATCATCATTAGCTGCTCTTTCAGGAGTGTGTAGAGGGGGGGGGGGGGGGTGGGAGCATGCCGCTACCATTTTTTTCTCTCCTTTTCCAATGTTGCATTGTCACAAAAAATGCTACAAGTACACATGGCGTAGCACCCATTACCACCCGGAATGATCAGTTTGTAGCCGTTTTTCGTTGTGTGAATCTGGAGAACATCATAATCGAAACAAATGAGTAGAGAGTGGGCTATCAGGGCAGGGGGCATCAGAGTAGGGGGAGAGGGGGGGGGGGCTACGCCCCTTTGTCTAGAACCCTGGCCATGCGAAGTACCTGGGCATCACGATAGACGAGCACGTTCGATTTGACGAACACATTAACAATGCTGTAAAGAAGGCCTCGCAGAAGGTGGGAGCACTCTGGAGAGCCCGCCGTTGCCTTACAAGAAAGTCCAGAGAGCAGTACGTGAAATCCGTTGTGATGCCAGATTTGCTCTACGAGTCCGTAGCGTTCTCTGGGTGCCTTCGACAAGACCAGCGGTCCCGCCTTCAGGTCCAGCAAAACCGTGCGGCACGCGCCGTATTCGGTCTGCCACCTCGCACAAGCGCCCAACCTCTGCTTGCTCGTCTGCAGCTGTATGGCGTCGAAGAGCTCCACAAGCAAAAGACCCTTATTATGATCTGGCGTTGCTCGAATGGTCGGGCAAGCAATGCACTGCAAGCCCTTCTGGAGCATCCCAGTACTCGAACAACGCGCTCGCAACGCAGCTTGGGCCTTCGAGTGCCCAAATCTGCCTCCAAAGCCGGCCACGACCGTCCAACCGCTCGCGGGTCCATTTTATGGAACATCCTGCCATCCGACGTGCGTGGTATTACCCAGTACCACCAGTTCAAACAAGCCTGCCTCCCGTTCTGTCTTGCTAGCAGTAGCACCCACTACTGAACACTACAGGAATCTTTGAACGTTTGCGGTACTCCACAGTACCAGTCATGTGCTGTTTACCGCCTCCCCGTTGTTGTATTCTAACGTTAACGTTATTCATTGACTGAGCGTTCTTTGCTTTGTACTACACCCTGCTATCATGTTAGGCTATTTCCTACAATATTTTACTGTTTCCATTCGCTTCCATGTAATTGGGCGACACCGCCCGTTTGGTTCTGCGAATTCAAATAAAAATGTACCTACCTACCTAGTGCATTTGTGTGTGTATGTGTGTGTATGTGTGTGCATGTGTGCGTGTGTGTGTGCATGTGTGTGTGTGTGTGTGTGTGTGTGTATGTGTGTGTGTGTGTGTGTGTGTGTGTGTGTATGTGTATGTATGTGTGTGTGTGTGTGTGTGTGTGTGTGTGTGTGTGTGTGTGTGTGTGTGTGTGCATGTATGTGTGTGCATGTATGTGTGTGTGTGTGTGTGTGTGTGTGTGTGTGTGTGTGTGTGTGTGTGTGTGTGTGTGTGTGTGTTTCTCACGCGCTGCCTTGCAGGAGGAAGAGTGTAGAAAGCGTCTGGTTACATGCAAATACTGTGAGCTAGACTGGCAATGCGACGAGTTACCGGAACACAGCAGCCTTTGCGGCTCTCGTACCGACGAATGCAGCCTATGTCACACTCGTGTGCGCCTCTCAGACATGGAGTGGCACATGACAGAGAAGCATGGCGTACACACCTCACACTCGTCTGCCAGCGCAGCATCATCACCGCTGCCGAGCACTGGGAAACAATCGGCCAGCGGCAGCTCGAAACCGTCTTCCACTCACTGTTCTGCTTCACAGGCAGCAGCACAGCCACCGGCAACCGCAGCGGCGTCGTTGAAGCTCTCTGGAAGCCAGCCACCGCATGCCAAGACCACCACCCCGCCTGATGCCGAGTGGGGCGTTACCGAAGTGCCAGCCTCCGCATCAGCCAGCCTGGCTGCTTCAAGCACCAACACCACCACCGCCACGCAGCAAGCAAAGAGACGCGTACCTAGGTCAACTCAACAGACCAAGTCACCACCAGCTGCTGCTGCTGGCAATGCTCGTGGTCCTGGCGCGTATGGCAGCTTGTCGGGCAGCGTGACATCCAGCAGTGTGGCAGCCGGTGCAGCCAACACTTTGTCAAGTTCACAGCTGACTGGCAGCACTAGCAACAGCAGCAGAGCCAGCGCGGCGAACAGCAGAGCCAGTGTTACCAGCAGCACCGCCACCAGCAACCCACCACTATCTAGCACTAGCAGCAGCAGCAAGAAAACCACCACCAGCAGCAGCAAGAAAACCACCGGCAGTTCGTCGTCCTCGCGATCCACTGCATCACTGTCGGGCTCCTCGTTGTCAGTAAAGCAAGCATCATCTGCACGCTCTAATGGCGCACATGGCTCGACCGTAACTCCCAGCACCTCTAGTGCGTCAATGGCATCTAACTCCAGGTCTGGTTTGTCTTGTAACACCCCCAAGCACAACGGGGGCTCTGCTCCTTTTGCTGCTGCTGCTGGACCACCGCCGCAAGCTGACACTCAAAATGCTGTTGGCGCATCCTCTACATCGTACTTTGAGGGTTGTTCGTCCGACCCGAACGATGTTCCGGTGCCGTGCGAGTTCTGCGAGGTGGAAGTCAGGCTTGGCGACCTGTACACTCACGAGGTGGCATGCGCACGCCGAGAGCAGCGGTGCACCGGCTGCGGCATGTCGTTCCGCGGCATTAAGCTACCACAGCATCGGCGTACCGGCTGCAGCCGAGAGTTGCAAGCACCAGCGGCTTTATCGAATGCAGCAGCAGCCGCAGGAGGAGGAGGTTATGGTACCACTAGCTTCCCAGGTAGGTTCCCTCGAGCTGTGGGTGACTTGTGGTAAATCTACGCCGAAATTCTCGCTGCCAGGGTGCAAACAGGCAACATACGTCTGCCCCTGCCCCCTCCCCCCCCCCCCTTCCACTCCTGTTGTATACCCAATCGTTCGTAGCACCCTTGAAAGCCGTTGAAAACCCTGAAAGTTTATCTTCCCTCGGGAATTCTCTGGAAATCCCCGGAAAATCTGTGTATATGTTTTTGCTACTAACCCTGGGTCTAGGGCTCCACAGCACCCGGCGTGGCAGTGGCTGACTAGATTGCATTTCATTGAGCAGGGCTTTACGTTGCATCCCGTGTATGGCAAAGGACAAGCAGTCAGTGTGGTTGGAGATTTATTTTATTTTATATGCGCACATGTTCAATTACGTAGTAGCTGCAACGAACTTGGCCATTTGAGATTTTGAAACACTCCTCCACTCCACACTGCGCTCGTGGCCCACATTAACAACACTATACTCCATAGCGAGGAAATTCGTTGTTGGGTACATGTTCAGGCTGTGTTGTGTGGCCAGGTACGGAGTGTTAGCCACACTTTGAAACGCGTAGAAATAACCCCTCAAACATCACCCCTGCGGCTTGGACTCTGAATATTGCCTGATGGACAGCGCTCGACATTTTTTCAGGCCCATCGTGGCACGTGATTGGTGCCTTTGCCGGGCTTTGGTCCCCCAGATTTTCAAAACACCTCAAAAAGAGGTCTAAAAAAGGTAGAATTTGGCAAAATTTTCCGGAAAATTGTCGAATTTGCGAAAATTCATGGGAAAACAGCAAAATTCGAAAAAATTCCAAAGATCCAAAAAACACCCCATTATTCGAAAAGATAATCTGGAAACCCCTAATGGTGACTGCACTGACTGGCACTGTCCAGTGCTGCAGTAGACTCTACCGGCAGTAGTGACTGCTCGCTAGTCACTGGACGGCGCGTGTAGGGACTTACAGGGGAAATCCCGGGGAGATAATTTTCGCTGAGCATGAGCTGAGCACTTGTACTTGTAAAGTTGTAGACCCAAACCTATTCTACTAGAATCAGTACTGCTGTCTGTTATATGTAGCAATAAAAACTGCTTTATGGCAGTTTTCTAAAAAAAGTTATTGTGTTCTAGTCCATGGACCCCGTCTAAAAAGTAAGAAATTAACGAAATGTGATAGCCGAAAATTAAAATTTCTCACAAAACCTCACAATAATCACACACAGGATGAAAAGCGAGAAGACATTTTCCCCTCGTGGTCCTCTTTCCTATTCATGCATGTTGGCGCAGTACTCGTACAAGTCACCCGTGAAGTGTCAGATGGACTCTTGGTCGGACTAAACAAGTGTTGAAAGCAGTATTTTTTTTAAAACTAAGATCCTCAAGTGTTGTGATTATTCAATCATTATTGTGAGGTTTTGTGTGAAATTTTAATTTTCGGCTATCACATTTCGTTAATTTCTTACTTTTTAGACGGGGTCCATGGACTAGAACACAATAACGTTTTTTAGAAAACTGCCATAAAGCAGTTTTTATTGCTATAATAGCTGTGGCGGACATGGAAATCCAGTCGATTGACCGGGGCCGGCGCCCTCATCGCGTAGATCTACGGAACGCTCCGCGCGTGCAGTGCACATGTAACAAGTACATGTAATAGTTGATCTGATGGGACCATACGGCATAGCAGCACGCTTATCCTCGGCTGCATGACCAGCGCCCTGGGGCCGCAAGACTTTCGACCGGAATTCCATGTCCACAACAATCGTACTACTTAGAACTAGTACACCAGTACAGTACAGTGTAGCACTAGTAGATCTACTAAGTACTGAGCCAAGTCAAGCCTGACTCAAGTCAAGGCCTAAGGCTAAGGCGAAGAGGCGTTCTTGTAGCACAAGAAAAAAATTTCACCTTTCCCGCCGTAGCCTACGCGTAGGAGCGTGACATGATAGTATTCTCCACTGGCCTTTGCCTGAATGGAGGGAGTTTGAACAGTGAAAATATCCGATCAGTATCACAGTCATAATCTACAGACAAGCAATTTAGGAGGCGCTCGAGGATTGAGTAAATATTATTATGTCAGGGGCCGCAGCTACCGGCGGGGAGGAGAAGGTCTTCAATGCCGAAGATAGGAGGGTCCGAGTCCTGAATCCTCGGAAACCTCCCGCCGGGGGTCACGCAGTTCACGCCTCCATTTTCCAAGTACGTTCAGCGTGCAAAACTTGCAAGCAGGTAGCGCCCGCCACGTGCTTCATGGTCGAACAGCTCAACAAAGGCCGCGATCATCCCTGCTACTATTTCACGACTGCCGCACACGTTATTTGTTGCAGCGATTGTGGAGAGTATTGTTGGATTCAGATTGTGTACGAATGGGATCCCAAGGATTCCATACCCAGTAGCACGTTCCTGCCGGATGAAACCTTTGTCGAGGAAAACAATGACCGAGGATGGCTGCGGGTGCCCGAAGACTACATAAAGAACTGCGGAAAAGGCAAGGAAGACTGGGATCGCTATCTGTATGATTATGGCATTATTGCTCTGCGCAAGGACAACTTGGAACAGAGACTAAAGGATGAGCTTGACAAGCTGAGCGGTGAAAATGCAATGGTCCGCAAACCAGTGGCCCAACAGCCGCGTATGGAGTCTGTTGACCAGGCGTTCCTGTGTGGGTTTCCTGGAGAGGTCAAGAAGGAGGAGGTTCGAGGTCACATGTACTGGATGCCCGTTCAGAAAGCCAAGAAAGCTGAACCGCTACTGGATGACATCGGCTTTCAAAAGCGCAGAGGCCAGGAGAGAGAGACCTCTGCACTGTTCGCCATGCCGCAACGTCATACGAATGACGGTGACGGCGACGGAAACAAGAAAAGCAGCAGCAACCAGGAACTTGTTGTCAAGCGACTCTACCGTCACTACATTGATTCAAGCGGTGGACAGAGCGGCTCACCCGTATACTCCTACGACGATGAAGAAGACGAGTACATCGTTTACGGCATTCATGCCGGATACTGGCGCTTTGAGGATGCCAAGTCCAATTTGTACTGCAATGTAGCAGTGCGGATCCAGGAGGTCTACAAAGACATGAGTGAGTGGATCAAACGGAAGGAGGATGAAAAGCACACGGCCAAGCCAGCTCAGAAACATTCCACAGAAGGTAAGGTTCATTCCGTGAGACTTGAGACTACTACTAAGTAGTTCAAAAATCTAAGACCGTTCTACAGTAGAAATCAATTAAAAAAACCACAATTACCACAAAAGACGGCAAGAATGACTGCGAAAGAGACGGCACGAACAGTAAAATACCAACAGCAACAACCACGACGACGACGACAACAACAACCACAACAACTACAACAACTACTACTACTACTACAAACCTGCAGCCACAATCTCACCCTCTTACCCAATAATTCCGGATTCCCACTGGCCGATTTTACAGCCGACATGGAAGTGTATGACAAAATCGTGAAGATCGGTGCGAAAATTTCCCTGGGGTAACCAGTGTTGTCGGACAAGTTTCCGACCAATCTGCGGCGAGTTTCTTAGTGGTTGGACATGGTGGTGCGAGCCTCTGACCAATCACTATTGGCTTGTCACCATGACAGCAGAGAGTGTCGGTGCAGATCCTGAACTGGCTGCACTGGATCGCTACTTGACGCCAGCCCTTCACGTCGTTGACTTTGCAGCTCGTGTAAAAACGATCTCATTTCCGCTCTGGCGTCTACTACGGTCTAGTATGGCTGCCTACCATGCGTACGTGTGTCCACAGAGCGCCACAGGCCAGCAAGAAAAATCGCTTGTCGTTCGTTGTGTGTGAACCGGTAGTCCGAATTATCCGACTTAGACAGCCGATTTCATGTTGAAGTCCATATCATGCCTGATCTCCGCTAGGTCGAGTTTTTGGCCGATCGTGGTTTATCGATTATGGAATCATACAAAAATCCTCGAGATCGGCGCGAAAACTACCTGGGGTGGATGCGGCGTTTCCGACAAATTTGCGTGGGTGTGTGTATAGGTCCGATCCAGTTGGCCGATCTCATGTGGAAGTCGGTATCGGAGCGTCGACCAAAATATCGGACAGTGTGGACCAGGCATAAGAGCATCGGCGGAAAATTCAGCCTAGTGGGAACCCGATATTACCCTTTTCCCATTGCTATTACAATTATGCATGTTTCTATTGGCTACAAACTTTTCCAAATATTATAAATTTTATTATTTTGGAAGAATTTGTAGCCAAGAGACCGTTTTTGTGTAGTGGTGTATAACTGTGTGAAACATGAACTGTGGCTACAGTGGAGTCTGCACACCCTTAGGAACTATACATGTAACAAGCATATACCATGACTTTCTTCCCAGTGCCTAATATCTAGGCGCGCTCGCGAAACCAATTTAATAGTGAATACCGCTGTTTGAAGATCTCTAGGATGCGTGAAACGTGATGTTACAGCTATGTTATGTAGACAGACCTTATCCTTCAGTGTTCAGTGTTCAGTGTGGGCATATTGCTCTGTACATAATCTGTATGTGGAGCACTTTGCTTAAGCTGCTCTGATTGGCACTATGTGTGTACATGTATGTGTGTGTGTGTGTGTGAGTGTATGTTGTGTGTATGTTGTGTGTGTGCATGTGCATGTGTGGGTATGTGCCTGTCCAATGTACTGGCTGTGTTGTTTGAAGGATTCGTTGAGGAGAAACAACTTAGCTATCTGTTTGGCACTGGAATCGAAGGAATGAAGAAATCGAAGTCAGGAACGTAAGTGTATGCACTGTGTAATGTGTGTGTGTGTGCGTGTGTGCGCGTGTGTGTGTGTTCATGCGTGTGTGTGTGTGTGTGTGTGTGCATGTGTGTGTGTGTGTGTGTGTGTGTGTGTGCGCGCGTGCGTGTGTACATGTGTGTGTGTGCAAGTTGCATGCCCACACGTTACTGCGAGGCTTGTGTGTATGTCCTGTTGTGGACATGAAAATCCATTTCAATGACCGGGGCCGGCACCTTCAATGCGTACAGAACGTTGCGTGCAGTGCACATGTTGATCCGATGCGACTAGCGCGCTGCAACGCATAAGTGCATGTGTGTACCGTGTACACACGGCTGCATGGCCAGTGCCCTGGGGCCGCTAGATGTGCGATCTGATTCCAATGTCCACGAATTTGCTTGGTGGACATGATTATTTGTATGTACTGTACATGTTCGTGAGAATATGTGCATGTGTACGCGTGGGCGGGTGTGCGTGCACTTATGCAGTCATGGCAACAGGTGTATGCATTTCGGTGTCCACTATTCATACATGCCAATACACGCGCTCGTGCATGCAAACACTAGTATTTGGTGCAGAGCATGTGAAAACGGCGCAGGCAGGCAGGCATAGTGGGATGGTCTAAGACCATGATTGAGAAACAGATAGTCCATCGGCCAAGTCTCAAAATCGAAAGTGGTGATGCACTGAGCTTCCAACTAAACGCGACCATACCCAGCACGTAGAGAATATATCAGAGAACACTATTCCGTTTGTTGGACGTGCCGAATTCAGTCCAGGGCGTCGATACGAAGCGTTCTTCGTCGCCGAGTTTTTTACTGTGCGCTCCATTTGAGAGTGCGCAGAGTTCTGATCGAGAGTTTTTTGAGCAGATTTTCAAATTTTTGAGGCTGTCAGCTGACAGCTGTCAACCCTAAATGGCACTTAGTATGTGACAGGCAATAGGTTTTTGTGCCTCCGTATGCCTTCTAATAAGTTCTATCTTCCTTCGTTTCACTTCGCTGCTTCGCCCACCACCTCAGGAGATGACAGCGTACCTGCACTAGTCAGCTCTCGCTAACCCTGTCTCTCTTTCTCCGTCTTAGCGCTCGTCATTCGTGTCCTTCTGCTGGGGCGAGCTTGATACTGTTGTGTCGTAGTTTTTAGGCAATAGTGGCTGTTGTTCGCGTGACGATCAGGATTTATGGAGAAAGACGACGACTCGCCAAGTTCCCATGCAGCCACAGACGGCGTAGCAATTCTTACCGCCAACCCTTCGAGCAACGGAACCGGCCTGAGTTGGAAATCGTGTCTGTGTAATTGTGCCACGATACGGATGAAACACACAGGCTCACATGTGACGAGATGAAGATAATCTCAACAGGCTGACGGAAATCCAACAGGCTCACGGGAACGCTGCAGTTATGGTCGGAGACGCGGAGTTATTTAGTCACTGGCAAATGTTGCATCGAGTGCTGTGTGCTCTAACACAATTGTAAAAATCATGAAAAAGCGAAAATAATGCAATGGTGGGGCTGAGTGGTGTTCTGTGGAGGAGACGTCGCTGTCTCAGTATTCAACGCCGGACCCTGTATTTCAAGTCTGTGGTCATGCTCGATCATAAGTTCCTGTATGGCTCCAGTGCCTTCTCAGCATTGTTGGCGGGTAAGCACCTGGATCGTCTCCAAGTACTGCGGCTCTGGTGGCTTGAGGGATGTACGGGTGCTCGCCGTGCACCCCTGCCGGCAATCTGCTAGTGAAGCTTGGTACCTACTGTGTCCGGGAGATTTTCATCCAGAAGCTGATCTTCCTAGGCTGGAGCTGCTGCTACTCCTGTGCTAGCCCTCAACCACTGGCGCTCTTACTCGGCTCCAGTGTGGGCCATTAACCACCCTGCCCGATTTCGCACTGTTGCTATTCCACACCGTCAGCATTTAACTCTGAGGTCAGACCTTGATCCCTCCCACCATATACTATCTGTCTGTCTGCCTCTCTCTCACACACAGTGTGCGCGCATACACACAAACACACATGCACACACACACACACATGCACACACAGTGACACAAACATACACATAGCCAACTTCTCTGTGTTTGGTGATCATCATCTGTTTTCTGATGGGCAAGCTCACCTCTGATGCCGATTACTTCCTTGCTTAGACCCGGTCTGCTATTAGACCAGTCTGCTCTCCCTTCACTCGCTTCTAAATCCTACTTGGAGCAGTAAGGTTGTGTCACTGCTCCTACTGATGTCATTGTTGTGAAAGCAATATCATCGCCATTGGTGGTAATTTTCCACCGTGCATGAATCATTAACAATCATCATCTATGTGTCACGGCCTAAGCATCCTCGTAACTCCCCTCCTCGTGACTAGTGCTGTACCGTTGAAACCTACTTTGCTTCAGTGTATATTCGCCCCGGGCAAAGCTCTTGTTTTGTTGCATAGTGATCTGACGCAGTGTGCTATAGCCTGTCGGGTAATATGGATAAGATTAGTACAGTCGGCATCGCCTATCGAGTGACCAGGTACATGTATAAGGATACTAGTACATGTATACCGGCCTAACGATATCGGAACACAAAATAATAATATTAATAGCACTATGTGTGCAATATTCCTTTCTAAGCTCACGCTGTGTGGTGCAGATAGGTCATGTGTCGTTGCCAACTTGCCGCATGTGCATGTGCAGCAGGAAGGCACCACATGTCGACTACTACGTATACTGTACAGCATTGTGTGCTTACATGCATCTACGGCCTTGTGGATGCAATTGAGTCTCACATACATGTACATGAAATATTATTGCGTGTAGTGCGGCATCAGGTGTAAATATACAGTGGCTAAATATTTCTCTCGCAATAATGACCGTATTCACCACAAGTGTGTTTATGTCCAGAGCCAACTCAAGTCCTGTATTATTTATGACCATGACAACAAGACTTCCGGGCTGAAATTCTTCTATGACAGGCATGAACACTTGCCTTACAAGTGTTCGTGATTGTACGAAGTACATATTCGCTGTTGCATCAATTTTGCACCATTTACATTGTAGTGCCACTAGTGGTATCACCTGCATGCGTATTGAGTCAAACAAGGTTACCTCTGTATAATTATGCTTATCGTGGCTATCAAGAGCTTCAATGCAAATTCCCAGCTGACGAATGGTGTCCAGCTTGTGTTCAGCTCAGCTGGCACTCACAACTCATAATAATTGCGTTCTAGACGCCAGATGAGATGTTTCAGCTACAATGTAGACACAACGTCCGTGTTCAAGAAAGCCGTCACTTCATCTTCTGTCCATCCTCAATAGCACGTTCAAGCAAATACGTCTGAAACACAGTAGCGACAATCCGACAGCGGCGACACGCCGTCTTCTCCGAATGAGCTTCTACCGTTCTAATTCAGATTCCCCCAAACATGTCAAAATAAATAATAGATTTCCACCAAGCTCGCTAGAATCTTGCGAACCGTCAACATGCAGGCATTTCAAGTGTTCGAGCGTGCGTAGATTCTGCTCAGCGGCTCAAGAACATTCGCCAAGCGAAAAAAAGTCGATGAGAAAGATGTAATGGTGGACGAAATTACGAAAATCGGAAGAAGGTATTCGACCCAGTTCGACTATCCTGGACTGGATTGGCAACGTCCAACAATCGGATTCGTATTCTATGGGGTCTCATGAGCTAGTGTGCCAAAGGGCGTTTAGTTGGAGCTTCAGTGCATCACCTTCGCCGAAAGAGGCCCTTTCTGAGATTTGGCCGATGGACTAAGAGGGTACCAGGTTAAAGTCCTGCTTGGAAGCGGAAGGAATTTTCCAGCCGTGCTGCGACCCACAGATAATTGGGAACTCGTGGTCTGACACAAGGGTAACATGGATGTAGTGAATGGGATTTCAGTCTTTGACCACTTTGTGGTGGGTCTGATCTACTCACCTAGCTAGCCTTAGCTCTAACTTTCATAGAAAAAACCTAGTGGAAATCCATTAACAACATTTTAATTTTAATTTACCGATGCCGTGGTGGGGATTTTTTGTTCACAGTTTTCAGCCACAAATGATGTCAAGTTCGAAATTCGAGAGCGATTTTGTCCGTTTCAGTCAAACACAGCTGAGCGCCCTTTCACGTGAGCTGCACCATTCATTTATCCTTTCAGATTCTTTTTGTCATGAATAGCTGATAGATAACACATTTTCATGTCTGTCTCTTCTCCTTTGCTGTGTGTTTTCAGTGAGGATGCCGGTAAACCTGACGAAGGTAAGGTATCTTTTAAATCACTTGGCATGTCGGTATGTATGTGTGTGTGTGCGTGTGTGCAAGTATTCCCAGTTGCCTTGTGTGTGTATGTCTGTATGTGTATGTGTGTGTGTGAATGTGGCTCTCTGTCTGTCTGTATGTATGTGTGTGTGTCTGTCTGCGTGCCGGTGTCACGGTATGAATGTGTATGTTCGTGTGGAGTGGCTCTGGGTGCACATCTAGTGCATTTGCAGATTTGCATGCTTCTCTTGTGACGGGCGTATACATGGCACATGGTACATGATAGGCGGGTGAGGGGGGGGGGGGGGTGCATGTGTCTGTGTGCTTGTAACAGTACCACGTGACCTGTCTACTGAAAAGTCACGATTCACTGCATTTTGCACAACATAACCATTCTAAAAGGAAGTTTCTGCTCCGAACATCGGAGCTCGTGCTTCCTGCCCAATGACGAGCTGTGATGCGAGCTCTAGTTCCGAGCTCCGACGTTTGGACCAGACACATTCTTTAGCAATTACCACCGAAGTCACAACAGCTTTGTTCGTACGCCCATTCTCAGTACCGTACACGCATAGCATACACTGACGATGATGAAGATGTGAACTTTTAGTCACATATCACTGTGTGTTACTATGTCACTGTGTGTTACTATGTCATTTACTGCTCAGTGTACCTGGATGACCCCTTTCACGCAAAGCTGTTCATCAGTGAGATCCTACCATGGCTTCAAAGCGTGCCACCCAAGCGTCTACTTGACAAGTGTCAGCGGCAGAGTCTCCTCACTTTAAGTGATATTCGAGATCTATGGCTCACTTTGGAAAAACGAGGCGGTCCAACGCACAATCAGGCTCTAGTCTCTCTGATATTGGCTGACGGGCGTGAAGGCTACATCAAGCTCTGCATTGCTGTCAAGGAGATGGGATATGAAAGAAGGCTCGGTCAGATGAACTCACTCCTGCCACCGGATAAGCGTGTCTAAGCCCACGCGGTGAGGCAAAGAATGAAACAGAGTTCTTGGCATAGCACCACGCTGTATTGTCTGCGAGTATTTTCCTGTACTTCTTGCTTTCTAGAAGTAAGCTAGCAAATCTCTCTCTCTTTTTCTCTCTCCCTCTTTTTACCCCTCGGACTCTCTCCCCCCCCCCCCCCCCCTCCTCTCTCTCTCTCTCTCTCATTCTCTCTCTTTCTCTCTCTCTCTATCTATCTTCTCTTTCTAGTATCAGCATCCTCAATTTCCATCTGCCGCACTTCACCTTCTTTTCTCCCATTATCTTTCACATAGTGCATTTCGTATTCTTCCACGTACATATTGTTGTTTATTGCTAAATTTTATTATTGAGACGTATTTCCCTGATGAATGTCTGTAGAAAACGTGTTAGGAAATTTTATTATCCATCTTTTATTTTTGTTGATTACTACGTCCAATGTCCGCTTCGCTGATTCTGCTGATTGCCATAACGAAAGAGCTTGGAAGCTCAGGGCCCTACGCTATGCTGTTTTGCCTTGATGACCTAGGCAAAAAAAGCATAGAGATGTTATAAATTTTTCATTTCTCCTATTCTCCTTTCAAGACATAACCTGGGATTCGAACCCGCACTATCGCCTTGCATGCATCCCCCGATACACTTCGTATACATACTAATTCTTCCAAGTTGCTTCACGTTATGATCTTGCATTTGAAAGCCCTATTTGAATATTGTGGCCAGCTGTTTGTGGCAAGCCTTCTTTGATGGTAGGGACGATACGGGACAGGTACGGTCGAGGGTAATACGACAATGTCTACCACCTTGATGACCTAGGCTGTGTTTACATGAGGCGTTTCAACCCGGGTCAGATTTCAACCCGCCATGTACACAAAATGAATGGCGCGTTTACATGACGCTTTACGCTTGACCCGGGTTGAAATTTCGCCCCGGGTCAAGAAAATCGTACTAACGTACTTCTGTGCGTATCTCGCGCCAGGTTTGAACAGCACTGCATAAATTATGCGGATTCACGTGACTATACAGGACTGTAGAAGTGGACTTTTGGCGGCATATCAGTATTTGACCCGGGTCAACTGTCTTCATGTAAACGCTCACCTATATTTTGTCTATCGTACAGACTTTCAACCCGGGTTGAAATTTCTCATGTTAACACAGCCCTAGGCAAATAAAAGCATAGGGATGTTATAAATCGTTCAACTCTCCTATTTCTTTTTCAAGGCATAACCTGGGATTCGAACCCGCACAATCGCCCTACATGCATTACCCGATACACTTCACATTCATACTCACTAGAGAGGTTCCGGGGTACGATTTTGCGTGCCAAAATTCGGATGGGCGCTGCGGATTTTTTCCCGGCGTGCTCCATACGATTTTTCGGGACGGAGAATCCGTGTGGACTGGCTTTCATACGAACCATGTTTCGTATGGAGATTTTGCGTCATCGGGTGCAGAAAGATTTTTCGCGTACAAATTTGTTACGAGAAACATCGATTTTCGGCGGGAAGTTTTGATTTCGGTACACATTTTCAAAATAAAAAGGCATAGCGCGGGAATGTGACGTAATTGCGATCGTAACCTAGGCAATGACGGCAAACACACGAAAAATCGTACTCTGGAACCTCCCTACTCTTCCAAGTTGCTCCACGTTATGATCTTGCATTTGAAAGCCTTATTTGAATATTGTGGCCAGCTGTTTGTGACCAGCTGTCTTTGATGGTACGGGACGGTACGGGATAGCGCGCTTTTAATTTAAGCCTAGTTCACATTCGACGCAACGCCGACGGTACGGGACGTAAGGGCTTGTCGGGGGGGGGGGGGGGGCTGGGGTGAGCTGTAAAATCCTGTACGATTTGTACGACACGACATGCGGCAGTCGTTGCGACGATCAACGTCGAACGGCGCGAGTCATAAGGCACGGTCCGTGACGGGGTGACTTTCAGACCTAATTTCTCATTTTTCGGGACTTCTTTTCAATTATTTCTCCTTGAAAGAAGCGGAATCAAGTTCACAATACCAGTTTTTCATGAAGACCAAAAAATTAACCCTGAAAGTTGTGGCATTCAAAAAATAGCCCCAGGAAATGATAAAATAGTTCATCTGTCACGCTTCTGAACTATCCCTAAATACAAAAAGTGACTCAAGTCGTGCTTGCCATTCTGTGAGTTATCACGGGAAGCGCAGTGTTCGAAATGCTAAAAATTTCTAAGTACGAATCGGGAGTAGTCGGCGCACGACGCCGTCTCCTGTTCACACTCGAATTGCAGCCGTTTTGTACGCTTGCGTCCCCGTCTACGCCCGTCTACGGTATGAAAAGTTGGATCGATCCAACTCTTCCCGTCGCTTCCCGATCTGTACGGTAGTACGGTTGCGTTCCCGTTCCTGGTGTTCACATTGGACGCCGTCAGACCGTCCCGTCGCTTCCCGTCGATCCTTACGTCGCGTCCCGTCGCGCCCCGTCGAATGTGAACTAGGCTTAAGAATCGCTATCACGTACGTGGACCCAGCCTCTCTAGAAGCATATACGGCGTGTCGATTGATTCCACTTGACAAAAACCCTGGAGTTTGACCTATTGGCATCGGTGAGGTTGTAAGACGGATCGCAGGGAAGGCTATCCTGCAGGTCATTGGCTCAACCATCATGCAAGCCGTTGGCTGCCGGCAACTTTGTGGAGGGCAGGAGAGCGGCATGGAAGCCGCCATCCATGCTATGGGAGTGACGTTTTCCGAAGAGGACACTGATGCCGTGCTATTCGCCGATGCTTCAGACGCATTCAACCGGCTGAACCGGGCCACCTGCATGCGGAACATTCGTCACCTGTGCCCGGACTTTGCTGCTACTATTTATTTATTCCCGTAGCTATGCAGAAGACGTTACTTCAGTAACGTCTGGCGCTAGCCAGGGTCCACACAGCTTTAATTTGGTATTTGTTTGTTTGTGTGTTTGTTTGTTTGTTTGTTTGTGTCACGCCTGGCGCTATCCCGTATCTGTCCCGTATCTGTCCCGTATCTGTGACTACAAAGGCTCTACAGGATTGTACATAACAGCTGTCCACAATATTTGCGGGCTCCTGTATCTGTCCCGTACCGTACCAATATTCGTCGTATTATGTATACGACTCCCTGATGTAGAGGGAGATTTGGAAAGAAATAGGGAGACGAGGAGGAAATTAAATTAGAATAGACGCCGAATAGGTGATAGGATGCGTCAGCATAAACAGCGTCAGCATAAACATACATGTACTTTGGAAGAGAGATCGCGTCGTCTCCAAAATAAGCGTGAACGAGCGATTCAGCGCCGGTCACAGGAAACGTCGGAAGAGAGATCCCGTCGACTCCAGAACGCCCGTGATCGGCAGATTCCGCCGGTCCCAGGCAACGTCAGGAAAGACATCCCGTTGAGTCCAGAACGCCCGTGATCGGCAGAGTCTAAGCCGGTCCCAGGAAACGTCAGGACAGACATCCTGTCGAGTCCAGAACGCCAGTGATCGGCAGAGTCAGCGCCGGTCCCAGTGAACGTCAGGACAGACATCCCTTCGACGCGCAGAAAAACTAAATCTGCAGCCTCTTTTGCCGTCGGACAGGATACGTATTATAGGAGACTGTAAAGTTATGTAATGTCCAAATTTTTACGTGAGCAGCAGGTCACTCGCGTTGATTTTTCGACGTGCGAGCCAAATAACGCGAGCTGAACTTTCGCGTCGCAGACATCCCGTCGACGCGCAGAAAAACTAAATCTGCAGACTCTTTTGCCGTCGGACAGGATACGTATTTTAGGAGACTGCTAAGTTATTGTAATGTGCTCCACAGGCAACCATGCATTCGGCGTCGTCATTGGCTCAACAGGTCAATGTACATGTATTACTACAAAAAGGCCAGAAAATCCGATTACTGTATTAAAATCAACTAATTTTCGCTGGCGATTTAATTTCGCTGATTTCGCCGCTTGGTACCAACCGGCCAAAGTAAATCACTGGCCAAAGTTTGAAATTGATGCATTAATGAGCAATGGATGCATGTGAGAGCAAAAATACCTATCGATTTCAAATTTGACGTGAAATTGCGCGTCACGTCGGAAATAACGTGCATCTTAACCTCTCTAATAGAGAGGTTTCTTTTTCTCATCAGCCAAAATTTGTTGATTTACAGTATAAGGAGATAAAAAGAAAAGAAGGAGCAAACCAAAAGAAGATGATTATTAGAGAAATAACAATCCGCAATAAATTCTGCAAATACTTTTGCCTCAGTTCTTATAACATGTACGATGAGCTAGGCAAAAAAGCATAAAAGCATAGCGTAGGGCCCTGAGCTTCCAAGCTCTCTCGTTCCCGTAGCTATGCAGAAGACGTTACTTCAGTAACGTCTGGCGCTAGCCAGGGTCCACACAGCTTTAATTCCCGTAGCTATGCAGAAGACGTTACTTCAGTAACGTCTGGCGCTAGCCAGGGTCCACACAGCTTTAATTTGGTATTTGTGTGTTTGTTTGTTTGTGTCACGCCTGGCGCTATCCCGTATCTGTCCCGTACTGTACCGTACCAGCAAAGACAGCTGGCCACAATATTTTTGTTTGTTTGTGCCATCGACATGCCTGGCGCTAGCCTGTACCTGTCCCGTACCATCAAGAGTACGGTACCATCAAGAGAATGAATATATATGCGAAGTGTATCGGGGGAATGCATTCAGTGCAGTAACATTTTGTGTGGATTTGTGTGCGAGGCCGAGCTCCCACTAGCAGGCTGGCTGGGCCGCCTGTCGACCAGCCCGGGAATCGCTTGTAGGCCGACAGCATGATAATTATAACGTATATACAGTCGTGTAGATGTATAGCAGGGAGTCATATTATGTAAACGTCTCCCTGCTGTATGGGGAGATTTTCTGGAAAGAAATACGAAGTAGGGAGACGAGTAAATGCAATCAGAATGGATGTTAGTTGCCGTCAGTATAATAATAATAAGAAGAAGAACGCCCCTGATCGGCAGAGTCAGTGCCGGTCCCAGGAAACGTCAGGACAGACATCCCGTCGACTCCAGAACGCCCGAGAACGGCAGAGTCAGCGCCGGTCCCATAGCTATGCAGAAGACGTTACTTCAGTATCTCATTGAAACGTGTTTGCAATACATTGATGTAGCTAATCAAAGGATAAAGCATTTCCATCAGTTCTAACAACATGCACGATGAGCCAGGCAACAAAGCATAGCGCAGGGCCCTGAGCTTCCAAGCTCTCTCGTTTGGTATTTGTTTGTGTGTTTGTTTGTTTGTTTGTGTCACGCCTGGCGCTATCCCGTATCTGACGGCAAAAAATCATAGGGATGATATAAAATTTTCAATTCTCCTATTTTTTCAGGCATATCCTGGGATTCGAACCCGCACTATCGCCCTACATGCATTCCCCCCATACACTTCGCATTCATACCCATTCTTCCAAGTTGCTTCACGTTATGATCTTGCGTTAGAAAGCCCTATTTGAATATTGCATACAGCTGTATGTGGCCAGCTGTGTTTGATGGTACGGTACGGGAGACGGTGTCGTATTACCCTCGATCGTACCTGTCCCGTACCTATCCCTACCGTACCGTACCATCAAAGACGGCTGGCCACAATGCATATTCAAATAGGGCTTTCAAATGCAAGATCATAACGTGAAGCAACTTGGAAGAATGGGTATGAATGCGAAGTGTATGGGGGAATGCATGTAGGGCGTGATAGTGCGGGTTCGAATCCCAGGTTATGTCTTTAAAAAAAAAGGAATTTTTTAAAGAATTTATAACATCCCTATGCTTTTTTTTTGTCTAGGTCATCAAGGCAAAAAAGCATAGCGTAGGGCCCTGAGCTTCCAAGCTCTCTCGTTTGGTATTTGTTTGTGTGTTTGTTTGTTTGTTTGTGTCACGCCTGGCGCTATCCCGTATCTGACGGCAAAAAATCATAGGGATGTTATAAATTTTTCAATTCTCCTATTTTTTCAGGCATATCCTGGGATTCGAACCCGCACTATCGCCCTACATGCATTCCCCCATACACTTCGCATTCATACCCATTCTTCCAAGTTGCTTCACGTTATGATCTTGCGTTTGAAAGCCCTATTTGAATATTGCGGGCAGCTGTATGTGGCCAGCTGTGTTTGATGGTACGGTACGGGAGACGGTGTCGTAATACCCTCGATCGTACCTGTCCCGTACCTATCCCTACCGTACCGTACCATCAAAGACGGCTGGCCACAATGCATATTCAAATAGGGCTTTCAAATGCAAGATAAACGTGAAGCAACTTGGAAGAATGGGTATGAATGCGAAGTGTATGGGGGAATGCATGTAGGGCGTGATAGTGCGGGTTCGAATCCCAGGTTATGTCTTTAAAAAAAAGGAATTTTTTAAAGACCGGGGGATGCATGCAGGGCGCGATAGTGCGGGTTCGAATCCCAGGTTATGTCTTTAAAAAAAAGGAATTTTTTAAAGAATTTATAACATCCCTATGCTTTTTTTTTGTCTTGGTCATCAAGGCAAAAAAGCATAGCGTAGGGCCCTGAGCTTCCAAGCTCTCTCGTTTATTTCTGCACCTCGTGGCATGTCAAGACAGCCAATTGAATCGAGGAGAGGGTGAGACCAACCACGGAAGAAGAGAAAAAAAGAAAATGAAGAGCACGTACACAAAGTGGGAAGGGATTAGCAACTTACAAAGCAATGGGATGCTCATCATCAACACCATCCATCACAACTCACTAGTGTCCTTCCTCCTCAGTCACGAAACAGCACGCTCTGCTCATTTCCCCACTCTCTCATCGCAACGTGGAATGAGCTCCCGCCTACCCTGCTGCAGTCTCCCCCTTCTCGCAGAGGTATGCACACCTTCAAGAAAAATGTCAACGACCACTTGCGGCGCAGCAAGTGGGAGTGGGCCACAGACAGGTTATGGTCTCTCCATCGCAGCCAACACACCAGCCTAATAATACTGACGCACTCCAGCTCCCTTCTACCCCTCTTTGATCCCCTTCACTTAGCCTTAATAATATGCGATTATCAGTTCTCTCCATCTTCCTACGGTGCACTGCTTTTACTATTGTTATGTCCTATCTCAATCTCAAAATCTCCCCAATATCGTTTGCAAAGCCGTCCAGAACTAAAAAATATATGAAATTACATGTACATGTATGTCTTTGGACCTTGGGAAATCCTCAAATACAGCCAGATATGTACATGTACATGTACACTGGAAATGTACACTGGAAATAATTTTAAATTGTGTAAAGAGAAGAGGTCATTAGTTCACCACCATGAATTCACTTGCAAACATCTACACACGCACATGTGTAGAATGCAGCATGAGCACGTCCCTCCGTTCCTGGTGTCGTCCATAGTCGTCCTTGGTGTTTTCCCCAACACAGCCAAGACTTCGCTGTTGTGGGGAAAACACCACTGCTGCTGGGCACTACACTAGGCCAGGGCGCAACTCATGACATGTGTACCAGGTTACAGGTACTACTACCGTAAAGTACCGCCAGAGCGCCCCACTATCTCGTCCTTTCGTGGTCGTATTGTGTAGGTGGTCTCCCGTCTGTAGGTCATACGACACGAACTTCGTACACATATTGCACGTTGTGCAGACAATCCGTACCTTCGAGCGGACACGAGCTCCACACAAAAACCTTCCTCTGACGTTAGTACACCATACACACTTCGTTGCATTCTGCCGTACGATTTTCCTTTCCCTGGACCCTGGCTGTAAAATCAAGGTGGGGCGCTCTCGCGAGACGGGGCGCTCTGGCGGTACTTTACGGTACTAGGTGTAGAGACAAGTCGAACCGCTTCTATCACAGGTGCTCACTGCTCAGTCGAGTCCCCTGTCCGATGGACGCGGGTGACACTCGAGTCTCGAGTCAGGGCGGGCTGGGGCCGGCTGGGGAAGCCCATTTCGCTGGTCAGTCACATCATGACATGGTCATGGAGTTCGCGAGTCGCTGCCCGTGTCACCGGATCTACGGTCGAAGTCGAGCTACCCTGCACAACAGAAACTCGAACGGCATCCGATATCGCACTACATGTCGTGCTCCTACTCCTAGAACTTAGGGCGCGCTCACACTGCGACCATGAGCACGCGTCCATGCGTCAGCAAAACGCAGAAACGTGGCAGTCGTGCTCACACTAGGCCCCGTACACGCGTAGACGTGAACTTGTCACACAAACTTTACGAATTGCAGTTCGTATCCAAAAGAGTTCGTGCGTTTCCTAATAAAGTTGTGGCCCGTTTTGGATGTAATTTTTCGCATGTTGCATGTTGGAGGAAGTGCCTCGTGGCTCGTACTCTTGAAGTCGACGAAAATAATTCATACAATCAGGTAGGTTTGGACTCTTGAGGGACTGCCGCTGACATCCAAGCGCTTTCGCTTTCCTGAGCTCGTGGTCAGAGCAAGTGCCAGTGCAGTGGAAATTCCGGTAGTGGTTTCTTTTGTCTGTTGCCAAGATGAGAACTGTATTTTCCGAGGATATGTAACTGAAATGTCTTGAGGTATGGCATTCCATCATCGCAGAAAAGTAGAGAAAGATGATTTCCGAATCCGAAAAGCCAGACCAAGCTGCCATCGTATTGAACGAGAACCCTGTAGAAATTGGTCACTCACCCGATCACAACGAAGCAACTACAAAAACAAAAACAAAATCGACATCGTCCGAAAAGGGCAAAGAATGGTGCGTGCGTGCAGGACCACAACTACAAAATTTAAAAAAATGTGCAAATGTCGAGGTGACATCGACAACCGCCGATTTTCATGAATCAACACACCGGAATTTGAGAAATTGAACATACTTCAGGCCAGGTTGTACACAAATACGCTTCACGTCTACGATCATGTTGCCGCCAAGTCGTGGCAC